AACACAGCAACCCGGATGCGATCGAATTGCCTCAACCGTCCCTCAGATCACGTCTCCCGATCGTTCCAGCCGAAGTCATTCCGGTGATCCTTTGAAGTCAACAACAAAGCGTTCGCACTTCAGCGCATTGATCAGACAATGGGGTAAATCACGTCTGAAGTTAACGAATTTACGATCATCTGACGCCAAAGTTTCCGAGATTGAAAATGTTAATCCAAGAAACACGGGCTGACCATGAACCAAACGAGTTCCAGCATCAACACCAGAGAAAGTATTCATCTTCGTCGGATAAATCTTCTGCGGTGGCGGTGGTGAGATTAAGAGATCCTACAACGCAGCGAAGAAACAGAGATGAACCTCATTCTTCGAGCGGAAATTGGAGCGCTAGTTCCGAAAGCGGGCGAGCTTCTATAGGATCCGAAACCACTACGACCCAGCCTAGGTCCACTCCTACAATTTCTGGTTCCTCTGGAATGACACCAGGCTCAGTTGGAAGTCGCAGAAGGTTTGCTGATACTTCTGCTTCATGTAGCGAAGGAACGCTGACACCTGATTTGGCCTCTCACATCGATGATGAGACAAGTTCGGCCTATTCTTGTGACACGGAAGGATATTACACTTCATTCCACGTTGACAGTGGTTTGAAAACGCTCAGGGAAGAAGATGCAACTATGCCGGTGACTCCTCTTCACTGTTCTAATGCATTGCACACCACTGGAGAAAGCGAATACGAATTATTTGGTAGAGGATCGACTTCGACTACTACAAGTTCAGCAGGAACAGTTTGTACTACTTTGCGAGCTTCCGGTAGCGATAGAAGTTTAATGGTAGGGCCTGCAGTACCAGAGCGCAAAAGCTCGCTGACTAAATTGGACAGAAGCGGGTCAAGCAGTAGCAATATAAGTGGTACTTTAGATCGTTGTGGTACAATAAAACGAAATGGTATTCTACTCAAAAAAGAACCCAGTTTACCACTCTTGGCACTGGAGAAAAACAAAGGCGCGGAAAGTCCCGATAGTGGACACAATACATCTTCTTCACCAATCGAATCAGCGGCTAGTCCCAATGGATGTTCTGAATTTCTTCAGAATTTTCGGAAAGCTCAGACGTAGAGGGTGCTGATAGAGCAGAGCGGATAAGGGCGAAAACAGCAATTAATTCAAGTCGCATTCCATCTATGTGCGCTATAACTCCACCTCATAGCGCGACGACGAAGGAGAACAAAGTGATAATTCTTCATCGAAACGAGAAACATCATCAAAGCATGTCGTTATGAATACAATTCCTGGAACTTCGAAAATTCAGCTGATTAACGTTGATCGCGAACGGGCTACGCGACTGTCGAAACCGTTCAAACGCCTACGCGAACTTCACATGAGAGCGTGCGAACCACCACTTTATCAGCTCTGAAAAAATCGCCCCTATGGGGTAAGATTCGAGGAGTGTTGCCACATTTGAAAAAATCCCCCGTGGCAACTAAGTTGGACATGACTGATGGAGGCGAATACGTTACAATTGCAGATGTGCGGAATAATAACGAGAAAGCAACAAAACCAATTGAGCAGAACTCAAGTTTTTCCACATCAGAATACGTCAGTTTAGATGAATTGCCGCGAATTTTGCCTTCAAATAGCAAATCGATTGATAGCGCGTCCAGCGCATCGTCTCTAGAGCGCAGACGCGTGGCGGGACAGGGCGCTCGTGTCACCGTCGATTGCGAAGGACGCGTCGTGTACTCGAGTAATAGTCTTAAGCGCAACAAGCAGCATAGCACATTCGAACCAGGACCGTGTGTGAAGACGGCTAAAGAATCACCAGGCACCGGTAAGCTCGTGGTCCGAGCGGGAGAACCAGCGGAACGAGTTCATCCTATCATCGCTCCTACGACGAGGATTCCATCTGCAAATCAAACTGGAGCGTACGTCAACATTCAGGATTGTGATCCTACTAGAACGATAGGTAAGCGTAAAATAAATCGCACAGCGAGTTATCTGAATGCGAATCGGCGGCTAGCGCCAATTACTGACAGGGCAATCGATCGCTTTGCGAATGAAATCGCCGCAGAATTGTGGCGGGAGCGTATCAATTACCCAGCAAGCGTTTCGCCAAAGTCTTACGGCAAGTATCAACTGCCTAAGGTGAATCGTACTCCTGTAATTTTAAATCCGCCCGAGCCTCTAACGCGTCCTCCAGAAAATTTATTTCCGTGCGGAAAGGTAACGTTACCCGCAGATAGGTTAGAACACCGCGCGCGAATTCTCAGTAGCACAAATCTAGACCTGGATACTGAAATTTGGTAGTATCTGCCATGATGGACTTTAATTTATTTATTTTTACTAAAATATCATTTATATATTCATTTACTATCGCAATGCCCGTAGAATCGTTTATAAGAATTAATAGTATTTATTAAAAGACATCGAGAACAAATAATTTTATTGCTTTGAAACTATCGTACATTTATTAAGTTTGCAAGCTACAATGACTATAATTTATAATACAAAATCTATGGATTGAACAAATTGACAACGCCAGGTTTGAAGAGCAATAAATACATTATCTGCCAGTTTTATTAGAATTTATTTTAAATAATGCAAACGTTATCCCTCTTATAACATTAATACATTCATTTTAATTTACTTTGCATGTAAAAATTTAAATTACTATTAAATTAAGGCCAAGTCTCAACGCCATATTAATTTTAAAAATCATATAGAAGATATTTTACTGAAAGCTGAAACCACCTCTAATTCCAAGTAAATATAATGTAAATATTTTTTTGGATATAAAAAAATATAATTCGTTTAATATTTGAATGAAATGTTTGATTAATATTGTATATGTTGCATGCTTTAGATGTTAAATGCACCATAATTCACAAAGAATTTGCCTTGCAGGTTTTACACAATGCACATTGTATTATATTTGTAAATATTTTATGTATTTATTATTTTATATGAAACCAATATGTACAAATAGGCAACATGACTATAAAAAAGAAAAGATAGTCATTAAAATGATTTAATTAGTTAATATGATTTTTTTACTTTTGCGTTATAGAAAATAAAATAGTTTACGCAAATGTTTTTATTTATAAAATTTCTAGATTTTATTAATTTTTTTAGTTTTTCAGTTCCTAAAAGTTAGAATTTTTGTTTGTATAGTTTTAAATTTTTGATTTCTGATTATTCGAATGAAATTTATTATTCCTACCTTGATTTTTTATATTTAAATTTTTATTTTATAACAATATGATTATCATTTTGTACATTTTTTTTTTCAAATGAGCAAATAATAGAACAAACATTTATGGATAAATCTTTAATTTCAATCGTAAAAGTAATCGTGTGTTATAAAATATATTTCTACTCTTCTGTTTATTTATTTAATATACTGGTTTAATTTTATAAGCGCTTATTTCAGAGTTATAATTTTTTGTGAAATAGTAAATCAATGCTCATCAGTTGTTTGTTGGATGGTACATGCATGTTTTTGTTTTTGGAATAAATAATTTATTTTAATTGATCAATTTCCATTGTAGAATCAAGTAATGTGTGTGTTAATGGTTATTTTTGATTAATATTTGTGCAACAATAATAGCAACTACTTGAAACTACATAAGAAATGAATTGAGCAGAATCATTAATAGTTTTATTTAACATTTAAGAAAATATAGCTATGATATTAAATTGATTCTAAATATAAAGCTGTTAATTAGTTTTGAGTAAGAAATTTTAGCATAGCTATATTTCAAGGCAAGTTTAATTAATAAGGTACTGAATGTTTTGGTTTCACTTTTTTAAGCACTTTTTAGGTATAGCTGATTTTGTGAATGTTTCAATATATATTTTGCACTATAAAACTCACTCATCAAAAGCTTCTGCGCACTTCTAATTAACATTTCATTGTGATTCATAATTACAAATGTTTATCATTTTTTGCAAAAATCATTTATATGTTGTGGTTATTGTATTAACAAGAAAGTAACACAGCAGAACTAACATACGAGATTTAATCGTAATATAATCTTTTTTAAATTAATATGTTGCCGTCCACATTCATTAAGTATTACTTTTTGTCACATATAAGTTATTTCGAATGAATGGATAAAAAGATTAATAAACTTGGATAATTTCACAAATTTTATTTGATGAATTGTACGTAAGTAATATATATTTTTCAATCTTTCATATATTGATAAAAAAGAATACATGACTTATTATTATTATAGTAATTTGTGAAATTTTGTAGTGCATGTATATAATATTGAACCATACTGCCTGACCTGTATAGTACAGATTTTTTGTTTATTTGTTATGTTTTCTTCGTTCTTTTCATTTGTAATATAATTGTTGAGAAATTAACAAATGTGCTTTATTTTATGCATGATACTTTATTTTAGCATCCCATTGTGATTGTTTGCTTTGCAATAAGGTAACTCAAATAATTATGTGAATCATTATTCCATTTTATTTCCAATATCATTTGAAACTTGTTTCTGATATTATTATTTTTTTTATTAAGGGGGTATTCTGGTCCAGAATTTAAAAAAAAATCCATTTTGTTTCTTTTCGGTATTTTCAAAGTTTACCTGTTCAGGAATATATGTACAAGAGGATTTTTCAAAATTTAATTTATTTTTATTAAAACCCACTTCATTGCCAATAAAAATTAGACTATTAAATTTTTTTTTATATATTTACAAAATAATAATAACTTGTACAAAAAATATTGTGTGCCCATTTTTTTACTGCTGTTCAAAATTGCATAAATTTATGCCTTTAGACCAGAATACCTCCTTAATTGAAATTATAATACAGGGATTATGAACGAAATCATTTAAAAAATGTCTTATCAATAGTATGAATTACAAGTCATTGGAATTAGTAGAATTGTGGAGTGTATAAATGTTTTAAAAATATTGCTATAGAATTATTTCTCTTCATATTGCATTAATTTTATTATTCATAATGCTTATTCACTTGTGTTAATATTTTCAGAATCAGCACTTTCGTCTAATGCAAAGAATGCCATTAAAGATAGTTTGACATCAGCGAATCAATCTAATTTCCAAAGGAAAAATCCAGCTTATTGGACCCTTCAAATGAAAAAATCATCTAAGGAATTTGTGCCTGTACCTATGAGATGTCTGACCCCAGAATTGCAACTAAAAGAAGATAATAATCAAATGAGATGTTCAGAAAGTTTTAATATGAAAAAGGATATAACTGATAAGTTTTTCCCAATCGTAGCAGGAAACAGTAAACATGAAAATCTAATTTGTAGACCAGATGTAAAAATTTCACCTATAGATCCTAGAAATATTGGAACTTTTCAATCATCAACTCCTTCGAGACCAGAAGCAGATACTCAAATCATATCCGAAAACAAAAAATCAACAATGACAAATGAAGAGTTATATGCAGTAATACATAAAAGTAAAAAGAAATTGAACCTCAAAGGAGATGTTAGTTCCCCCTCACGCGATTTAGAATCCAGATCTAGAAACAGCTGGGCTGTTAATGATAAAGCAAAAGGATCTATAAGTGACCTTAAATCGGGTTCTTTATTGAATCAACCTGGCCAACGACAAAGTTGGGCTTGCATTGATAGGTTAGGACCAACGCCAAAAACTTCAAGATTAGATTTCAAAAAATTACTTCTTCAACACAGCTCAAAATCAGTACCTGTTTCACAAACAAAAAAAATATCTGCAGTGGAGCAACTGAAATTGGATAGAGAGAAGAAAGAAGCATCAGGTGTTTCTAGTCCTATTAATATTTTAGATTTAAGCTCATCTCCAAAATCCTTTGGTGGACGTAAAATGATTAATAAACAAAGTTTCAATACGTTTTCTTCAGCAACAAATAAAGATTCTTTACAAAGAAATACATCAAAAATGACTTCCCCAAAAAGTACTTGGCGTTTTTCTCACCCTCGTTCTGATATTTTGTCATCTCCTATTCAGGAAGTTTGTGCGGAAGAAGATAACCCATGTCTATCAAATGAATTGGCCAAAGTATCATTAAAACCTATCCCATTGCCAAGCTCTATACCTGCAATCAGGCCTGGGCCGATATTGGCTTATCCTAGTCTCTGCCCTATCAAAGAATCTGACTCATCGCCAAGTAAGCAAAGTGATTCCATAGATAAAGTTTCTGGTTCAAAATTAAAAGAAAACTTATTTTTAAAAATAGAAGAAAACAATTTCATGAAGTCTGAGTTAATAAAAAATCCTAGGATGACTTCAAATATTTCAAGGAACCAATTATTGCAATCACAAAGAGCCCAATTTTTAGCCTCTAATAATACAAGCCAATTACAAATAACCGCACAATTTAAAAACGGTCATTATACAGGAATCACAACAGGGGGACAAAGCATCAGAAAGAGTGAAATACCTAAACCGCCATCTCCAACTTTAGAAACTGCTCTTTGAGACACATTTTTGTTTGTGTATAGAACTAAGTTATAGAATGTCTAGTTATTATACAAATTGTAACAGGCTAACTACTATGTAAATTGTATATTTTATTTATAATGTGAAACAATGGTTAATTATTATATTCAACTATTAGACATGAAAACTTTTGTAATTTTATATCAATATCAATTTGTAATATTTATGCTCGATTCATCAAATAATTGCCATTAATCAAAAGGCCTTGAAATAAAAAGTAATATATTTATAAATGTACTTAATATATTTAATATATGTATGTAAATAAGCATTATACATTACAATATCATTTCATTAAATTATATTAAATCGTCTTTTCCTTAAATCCTATTTGATAACACTAGTTCCATTTTGACTCTTAGCTTTTAGTCTGAGATCCGTTCATCATAGGCTGACGCATCGGAATAGGTCCCATGGGTCCTATCATCGGTGGTCCAATTGGGGGCATACCCATAGGTGGCCTCATTCCCATCATCGGTGGCATACCCATCATCATAGGTGGCATGGGTCCTGGGCCATGTGGGGGCATACCAGGTGGGATCATTCCAGGTCTTGGGGGTCCCATATTAGGTGGTGGAATGGCTACACCACCTGGTTTAGCAGCGAATGGATTTTGGGCTATTTTGCCCGCTTTATACGCGGCTGTAGTAGCATCAATTAAATGCTGTGCTTGTTCTTCCATCCATTTTTGATAATAAAATTTCACATTATCTTTATGCTTTCTGCCGGAGCAATGGGTTTTTCTAACACTCGGAGAGTCATGCGTTAGATATGTATCGCAGTAGTCGCAGTAATATTTAGGCATTTTGGAAAAAACTTTTTTTATACGTCCAAATAACTTATAACAAAATAAAAGTAAGCTAACTTGAACCGAAGTATTAGTAAAGTAATTAAGTAAGCTAACTTGAACCGAAGTATATTCCACTTGTACTGCGAATTGTTTGTGTATATTTTCACCGAACTGACATTTCACAATTAGGTTAGCGAAACCCACAGACATACGCTTTGATGAATACTAGATACTAGCGTTTAGTTTTGCGCATGAGGCGACTGGCGGCGCTGCGTGTCACATAAAAAACTAAATCTTAACGATCGTGATTGTTTTTTTATCACCTGTTAATTACCTGTAAAAATTATTTATTACCTTTATTACCTGTATTATTCATTAGAAATATTATCGTTTTAATAATAAAAACAACTATGTTGATTCTGTTTATTAAATTTTTTCATGTTGGCGACATGGTTACTGTCGATGTCATAAAACCATAGATAAAAGAAGAGTAACATAGGTAAAAGCCAAAGATAATGTTTAACTCATGTTTAACTGTCAAGTTGAGGTGAGGTGATGTGGGTTGCAGATCTCTTCTTTTATCTATGCTCCGAACCAATGTCTGTTTCGCGATTTTAGTTAGAGCTGGTTAGAGTCCCTGCTGCCTGTCGCACTTGTTATCGTTTTGATCGAAAATAAGCGAACGATCGATTTGACAGGACGTAAATCAAACATTATCGATAAAGCTGATTTCTTTTATATGATATTTACATAACGTTTAAAACGTTTAAACATTACATAATGTTTCAGAAGGAACTGTTGATGGAATGCGAGTACTTACTAGCTGAAAATAATATTTGCATATGTTCTCAAATATAAATGGGCATGAACTCGATAGTTATCGTACAAGGAGCTGTCTTCTATTCATTTATAGTAATAAATAATAATAATAAAAATATAATGTATTTTTGTATATTTTCTATTTAAGTTTAATATGACATATAAATATATAATGCTACTACTTATGTAAAAGATTTGTAAAATGCAAAGCTGTTTTGCATCGCAAACCTTGATGATTATATGAAATTTCTTACATTTAAATCAATTTTGAATTATACTATTAACAATAGCAAACTATTTGTACAACAAATATAACAAATGAATTTAAAACGTTTTCATCGAAGTACATAATTTCTTTGTTGAAAAAAAGCAGCATTAAATTGAATCAGTCTTTAATGTTGATGCGTACACTAATTTGAGTATCGTTGCATCTTTTTACTAAAGAAACAATTCTATTGTGATTCAAGTAATTTTATTTTTTAAATTTGTATATAAAAACTATATTGTTGCAAACATCGGATATTGAAGTTAATTTATATTAAGTCATAATCCTAATCTTATTTCGGCTTTGCCTTTCGGTTGTTCTTACGAATCACTTATTAGGGATTAACATATGAAAAAGGGACAAAATTTTCTTGAATAAAATGTGGAGAAAATTACATTAGTTATGATACAAAATAGAAACACTTTGAATATAATTTTTAACTAATTTAAGTATTGTAGAAGTGTAAATGTTCTAACATAAAAAATAACTAGTCATATTGCTTCCAGGAAAGTTGCATTAACTTTCCTTGAAAATAATCAGCTAAATCAATAAGAAATATATCTATTATTTTACGAGATATGTATTAGATGCAAAATAGCAACACTTTGATAATAAAATATTTAACTAAACCTAGTATTGTATGACAATTGATGACAGTCAGCAACATTTTATTCAATTCAAACATGGAATACAAATTTTTTAAATATTATTAATTACTTAAACAAAAAGCGATTTTGACCATAAATTAATCAGCTCGATGTGTTTTTATAATATTCCGTAAAATCAATTTTATAATAAATGATTTTTAAAAACAAGCAAAATATTTGTATCAAATCAAAGTGGCATTTTATTGCATTTTTAGTCTGTAGTTTTTTTTTTACTGCTGTTTTTCATATCCACATTTCATTATAAGTAATTTAAATATATTATTACATGTTTTTAAAAACCTTATAAAATTATCTGCAAACCGGTATATAATGTTTAATGACTTTCCTAATAATATTTATTATTAAACAAAATTAAATAATGAAGTTTTGTGAAATTTAATTAGGCGTGCAATAAGTAGGTACCGATAATATTACATTGCAAAGCCCCTAAACAATCTTTTACATAACAAATTGTATTCTATCAGTTACAAGTCAAAAAAACGCATTTTTGTGGACTAATATGTAATAACATATAAAAATTTTATCAATTACTTTAGATAAATAACGCAAATTTGACAAAGAGTTCCTTTATATGTCGATTGTAATTTTACGTTGCACTTTGCCGACAGACATAAGCACATACAACATAATAGTGGCGGAGGTTCTTTCGGAAGCCGATCGATCATTATGCAATACTGCGGACAGAGAAGGACAACTATATCATGTGCGAGTGCGCTCGAGTACTATTTCGCACTCTTTTCCACGCATAGGATTACTGAGCAGAACAAGGACAAAGATATAGGCCACGCCTCGAGTGGGGATAGGCCACGCCTCGAGTGGGGATAGTGGCACTTGGCCTGCGAGAGCAGTTCTCATTTCAATTTTGACTGCGGTTTCGGACAGAAGGCTCTCGGTGAAGCGGACGTAGTTGACCGGCTTGTTACGTAAGTTCGGCATTGTTTCGAATTAAATTCACTTCAGTTTAGTTGCAATCGTTGTCTTTGTTTGGAAATACCATGATAATTTTATATTAATTTCAAGTGTTCGTAATTGTGTTCTTCATAGTTCTTTATTTTAATTTTTGATTTTTTAAATTTCGGTATGTAGTCTAGTATGTTCAGTAAGTGAAGTGAATTGTGTATCGAATCTGCGATTCCGTTTTCGGAATTTCGAAATTACGTTTTCTACATATTGAGGTAACTATTAACTTATATCGAAATGCAATATTCTTAAACAATAAAATCATTTCACGCGTATCTAATGATAATGATTTCTATTGCAGTTACAACAATTTGGTAGTCCAGACAAGATGTTGCAGTCCATTTCACAGGAGAAATTAAAATTGATGCAGTCTAATTTACATGAGGAATTGAACCTGATGCATCAGTCTACAGTTTACAGGAGAAAAGGTCAGTGGTACATATTTCTTGTATTAATTTCAAGGTTTTCAAGTTGATTTCGTGGGTACCGAATTTTCCGTAATACGTAGAATTTGCAGGTTTATTATCAGTTTTGATCATTTTGGCTTTTCTTATACGAAATGAATTAATTGCGCGGACGCAGTTACTGCGGCGTCCGAGTACATTTTGATTTATATATCACTAGAATTTTCTGAATCATTTGAAATCATCCATCCATTTAAATTTTAAAATATTAGCTTAGGCTTTTCATTATACAAAATTAATTGATTGCGTGGGTGCAGTTACTGCGGCTTCCGAGTACATTTTGATTTATATATCACTAGAATTTTCTGGATCATTTGAAATCATCCATCCATTTAAACTTTAAAATATTAGTTTAGGCTTTTCATTATACAAAATGAATTGATTGCGTGGGTGCAGTTACTGCGGCGTCCGAGTACATTTTGATTTATATATCACTAGAATTTTCTGAATCATTCATCTATTTAAACTTTAAAATATTAGTTTAGGCTTCTCATACAAAATGAATTGATTGCGTGGACGCAGTTACTGCGGCTTCCTAGTACAGTTTGATTTATATATCACTAGAATTTTCTGAATCATTTGAAATCATCCATCCATTTGAACTTTCAAATATTAGTTTAAAGTAGACTGAGTTGCTTAATAGATTTTACTGCTAATAGTTTTGACTTGCTTCATGCTTCATGACGCACATATTTTATTTCACCTTAAAAAATAATTTATTGAGCAATTTTTTTATGAAAGTTTTCGTATTGTCATATAAATTATATTCATCTTTGAACATTATTATCAAACATCTAACATCGATCATGCTAAAATATTATTAGTAGTGATGTGATTTGATTGATAAATTTAATTTGAAGTTTTTATGAAATTTACTTAATAAAATGACTATTTTCAGTTATTTCAAAGTCGATGCTATTTTTGCTATTAGAAAAAGCGCAGGTTCTTTAATTTTGAGAATAATTTAACAAATTAATTTTTATATTCCGACCTAAACAAAACATATGCAACAAAATAGGAAAGTCGCAATTTATTACACAGGTCTTGGAAACCTAATGAAAAATTCCGTGAATTGAAATGACTTAATAATGAAAATTTAATAATTTAACAATTCATATCATATTTGACAATTTATTCGTTAATTATTTTTTCCAGAAAATAAAATACCTAATTACAAATTATAGCCATAAAAATAGACATTTATTCGAATGTCTATTATGTACCTGAAATCATTTAAATAATTTATAATTTCAATTAAGATCTTGCAATCGTTTTCAATCAATTGCTACAAATTGAAAAATTTCATAGGTTTTAATATAGCTTTTAATTAAATGCATTTATGGTTATACAATTTTCATAATTTTTCATATGATGTTTAATTCATTTTGTTTATAAAACTTCCAGTTTTATATGGTTTTTCATTGCTTTCAATGATTTTGCAATTATTCACAAGTTTGAATATGGCTCTTAATCATTCGATATTACAATTTTAATAACTTTCAATGATCCTGCAATTAAGTTTCAAAATGGATTTAAAATTTTTTAAATTGTGGTTTTGCAATTATCTTATTTTTAAAAAAATCTATTTTTTAATTTTAATGATCTTGCAATTTTCATAAGTTTCAATACGATTTTTAATTCATTTCAATGAGTTTATTTACTTTTCAATCTAATCGTCGGTCCAGCATTTGCAATTTGTTTCAATATAAACATTAATGTTGCTATGAATATAGGCATGTTTTCATAATATTTCCACAATATAGAAAATTACTTTAGCTTTCTTCAAGTTTATAATATACATATCAAATATTAAATATGCTTCAAAGGATAAAAAATACTTTTTTTTGAAATTCAATTTAATTTCAAATATTATTTTTGGTATGAAAGTCGTTTGGCTATTTTGAAACTTTTATTGTAAGGCAGGTTATTATAAATAAATAAATTATATGCTAATTTGAACAGATTTTCCGAATGTTTAAA